GATTTGACGTCTTTTAGTTCACAGCTAGTATCTGCCTCACGAAAGACACCGAGAGCGTGCCATGATGACATAAGCGGTGAGGAGCGTGATTATAAGTACTGACGTTTCGGACCGGATGGAGACACGGGGATGTGCTAGAGACAAGACACCCTGATGAAATCATTTGTGGCAAACACGAGGCGTGCCATACATAGCACAAGGCTAGGGCGAGCATTGTCCCTGTCCTCAAAAAAAACCCCAAGCTAGAATATTACAAAGGGCAGTGCTAGAAGGTGGAACAAAAACACGCGCCTGAAATTTCTTCTGGATCACAAGGCCGAGTGCCTTCTAAGCATAGCCTTAAGGGCGATGCTCAAACACTAACCTAGACTAACACTTAAATGTTACCCTATAGGTTTAAGCTACAGTAGTGCTTATCTTAGACACGGGCTTAGGTGTGGCTAGGAGGCTGAAGTATTTTGCCTTGTAATGTCTTTTTCTGAGTGCCAAAACAACTTGCAAAATTTCTCTCAGATTCAGCGGGAGTAATAAATGATAATCAAGGAAGCTCTAGAAACAAAAAAAAAAAGGAACAAAATTATAATAACTAAAAAATGAATTAAAGAAGCAAATCAGAAGTGATAAATTTACTAAAAAATCTAAATAAAAGACCTAATAATTATAAAACACTATAAAAATTAACAACCTTATCAATCTTCTGATCAAAAGAACATAGACAAGTAACCACAATTAGGAAACTCTTAAGCAAAAGTAATAAACGCACCTCTCAAAATTATCTTTTTTATATTTTATGCACCTTGCAGATTTATAACGAAACAAAAATAAGAACGCTAACAAGTACCATATAAAGATTAATTGGAGTACATAACATACTATTTTTCAACTTTGCTAATTAAAATACAACAAAATAATGAACTCATAAAGGAATACAGGTAACAGTGAAGGAGCTCTTAGAATAACAATATTAATATATTTTTTTTAAATGTCAAAAATAAGTTTTTCAAGAATAATATTGAATAATTAAAAAATAAATAAACTTCTGTTATCTTTCTATTTCTTTTTGGGTTCTTTCCACTCTAAATTTGTGACTTAATGGAATTTAGTGATTTTTCGATTCAAGCCATCCAACTCGATATAAGACCAATATAAATTTTATTTAAACATAATTTATCAGACTAATAAGTATGAATAGAATAAAAAAATTTAATATTTTTATATTATAAATTTAAATTTTCATTCAAATCTACTAATTAATAAGATTCTTTTAAAAAAAAAATAATTTTATATTTGTTTGTTATTTTAACCTAATAATATCGATAGAATATAAATCGTATTAAAATTTTAATTAATTTTTCCTTTTTTGAATTTTGAAAATATAAAACAATATAATAATTTACGGATCGACGATAAGTCAATTTGAAACACTTAATGAATAAATCTAAATTTAATAGTATCTAAACGAAATAGAATAAAAATAAAAGATAATCGCAATTCAAAATATAAATCTATAAATGTCAAATTCAGTATCAAAAAAAATTTTAAATCAACATAAATACAATAATAAATATTATCAAAATAATTTTCTTCTCTGTTTTAGTAATAAATGAAAATGAATAAAAAAAAATACATGATTAATAACAAATAACTAAAATAACATAACATAGTAGTAAAATAATTCATTATCATGACATTTCTCTATATAATGGTCACCGATAATATGTTCATCGATCATAATTCTCTTTATAAGATTTTATGATGTCACAAATGTGCTGCATAAGTTTAAAAAAGGCCTAGGCGGTTCATTGAATCAGTTGGTGCTCTGGTTTCATGAAATCGACGGTATTACAAATTATTTAAAAATGTTGAACTTGAAAATCGGCTCTCGAACCCCTGCCGATTCCGATTTCAGTGCAGATTCCTAATGAACCGACAGATTCCGATCAAACACAGATTATTCAGAAGATTAATATATGTTTTTTAATTATTTCAAAAAAAAAATCGATTCTACACGTCTACAAAAACATTCTTTACTTTCGAATATTAATATGAGTTTTAAAAAAACATTGGTAAAATTTTTTATTTTAAATAAAATTTTAGAAATACTCCATACTCATATAAAAATAAAATAAATAATACATTTATACAAAATAAATCAAGATAATTGATCAACTTTAATTTCAATGTTTATGTGTTATTATTTATAAATATTTAGAATTTTTAAATGCTTACAAAAGATATATAATATTTAAAACATATAGTATGCAAGTTTAAATGGGATAAAATAAAAGATTTTAAATTTAAACTAAACAGTTGTCTCTTTAATTTTACCATTTTAAACTTTTGTTTTCTTTTAAATGTAGTGTATTAAGAAAAAAAATCTTAAAAGTAAATATATATGTAGTAAAATATAATATTGAGACTGTTTAGAGATAATAATAAAAAATAGGTCAAGATGAATTATCAATTTATGAAAATAAAAAAAATTGAGAATTTTAAGTTCGACATCCGGATCGAAAAACCATCGGATTAACCACAAATGGTTCTGGGGACCGGTTCATATTCCAGTTTTTAATATCTCACATGAACACCATTCAAACCGGCTCTTGAACTGACGAGGTTATTCGGTTTACAAAACTTTGAACCAAATGGTTAACCAGTTCATCATAACAGTACCGATTCGATTCACCATTTGGTTCGAAGTATCAAAATGAACTGGTAACCAGCCTATAATACAAGAATTATCTTTAAGCAAAAAATTCATATTTTGTATTAAGTCACATATTTGTTTTAATTGTTCAAAATTCGAAATTCATAACAAGTAATGGTTATTACATATAAATAGTTTAATAGAAAATAATAACATAAGAATAAATAATATAATATTAACAAAATAAATATTTAAATTTCCGCGCAATCAGGTGCGGAAGTTTCTCAGCTAGTATATATATAAATAATATAATAAATAAGTCAAGATTTACATTTATTTACCTATTTTTGCTTATCACCCGCACACAAACACCAGAAGTCAAAATCCTTGTATATAACTAGATATAATTTTAAACGCTTAATTCCAAAAAGTTTTTAAAGAATTTTTCCGGGGTGCCCTCACAGAAGTAAAAAAAAATAAGGTAAGGTCAAGAAAAAGTTATATAGTTGATGTATTTTATACGTCAAGAATAAACGAAAATGTGAAGATTTTTATTTTAGTAAATTTAGGTATTAACTATGATTATTTTAGCGGCAAAAGGTGGAGCATAAACCCAGAAAATGGAAATTTAGAGGTGAATTTAGATTTACTTCCATTGTAAAATAACCCCTACATCAAATAACTAAATAAAGTTCGATAAACGCATGCCCTATCTATCCAACTTTAACTTTCTTCCCTTCTCCAATTATAGTTCATTTAGTGTTTCCTTCAATCCGTACTCACTCTATATCTGAAGGCAAGCAAAATTCACAGTTAAAGCTTTCTTCTGAAATTTCTTTTCGGAGTTTGCCTTTTTGATTTGAATAAAGCTTGATTTCCTTTATACTTTTCACTTTTTTTTTACCCCCGACCACCACATTTTCTAATAGTAAAAATAATGATATAGTCTATTTTAGGTTGAGAGAAGAGAGAGAGATTATACTCTCCATAAGGATACCTATTCAACTTAAAATTCACTAATTTAACAACGCATTTAACGTCGTATGGTATTTAAACACTATTACTAAAACTCCTTAATAAAAAAGGACGAACTTTTTTAAAGTAAGCCTTAAAGTCGGGATAGAATAAGGCATAATAGGCAAACACAAGAGTGTAGGACTAAAAATGTGGGTACTTTTTTATTTTTTTTTTTATCTCAAATCGTTTGTTGACGTATAATTTTATTTTGATTATTCTTCTTTTTAAATCAAAATATTATTAAGGATAGTTATAGGATTAAATTTGTCCTCCAGTTAAGTCGCATAGTTAAGATTTTAATAGATCCACAGAGTTCTTCGCACTTGTTGGATCAGTAATCAAGAAAAATTATTAATACGGCTGCTAATCATATACATCAAAGAATGTAAAAAATGAAAATATTAATTTTCAAATACCGTACAAAACTTCAGGGCTTTTGCTGCTATCGAATGGAATGAACTGTTAGTAATATAGCCTGGTGAGGGCCAAACCAAGTGAGCCTCAAAAACCATAGAACAACCATAGGTATTAAAAGAAAGAAGACCCAGAAAGAGAATGGCTTGGATAGTTAGGTGAATAGCGAAGAAAAAATGAAAATTGAGTTAATCTTAAATTAATTTTTAACTGACGATGCTCTAACGTAAAATTTATTTTAACTGACAATATAAGAGTGAATATAAAATTAAAAAGAATTTTCCAAGTAAACTTGCCCTTCCAAGTGCTAACAATATATAAAATTTTTTATTTCAGGAAGCACGGCATTAGGAAATATTAATATAATCAATGCAAAAGGTGCGGAATCCATTGGGTCATGATGATTAGTACAAATGAGCAGTTCGCTACAACAGCACAGTAAAAATAAGAAGATGGTTAAAGTACAAATTATATATTCTCATTACATGAGACCCTAAATCGACATCAGAACACAAACAAGCCCAAATCGCAAAAGAGAACAGCTCACATATTTTCCCTGTCAGCAAATTAATCATACTTCAACTAAGTTACCAGCTTACCAGAGAAAAGCCGCTTCACCAACCTCACACCTCCACCAACACACTACCCACCACCCAGAACCACCCCAGCCCCACACCCCCCACCCCACCCCGCCAGACGAACCTCTCTTGAAACCTAGAACCCCAATCCAGAAAAGTTCCAGTGTCAGTGCCACCAAACTTCCCCAAGCCACCAAGAGACAAAGGCTTCCTTGCCAAGCGTGGAGTATCTGGACTTTAGCAACCAAGGGAAACTGCCCGCAAACCTGGATCACACATCCATTAGCAGAAGAATCCCATCTGGAATTACTTGTCATAACCAGAAATCCTGCCTGTTCAATTTCCTATCCCCCACCCCCACCCCCACCCCCACCCCCAGACGAACCTCTCTTGAAGCCAGAACCCCATCCAGAATTCCCAGTGTCAGTGCCACCACTTCCCCAGCCACCAGGAAAGGCTTCCTTGCCAGGTGAGTTCTGGACTTTAGCACCAGGGAAACTGCCCCAACCTGGATCACCATCCTTAGCAGAAGAATCCCATCTGGAATTATTGTCATAACCAGAATCCTGCCTGTCATTTCCTCTGTTGTTATAAGAGCCTCGACCATGTCCTCTCCCACCGTATGGCCTTGGTAACCCACTCTGATGACTATCTCTACTACCTCCATTTCTATAATCATTCCGACCTATAAAATCAAACAGCCAACGGTAAGTTGCAATATTTTGATAGATAAAATTAGCACTTAATCCAGAAACCTTGTGACAGCTTGCATGAGGGGGATGGACTTAAAATTGCTTAGCGACCTAATGAGAGCTACAAATCTTGAATGGAAATAAAGAAAAGAAAACCACATGCAAGCACCAGCCAACCTAAGGCCAAGGCCATTAAGTTTCAAATTGTACCGTGATTTCCAGAACAAAAAGGATATTTTGGTTTTCATTCAACTAAACTGGAACACTTTGTGCGTTCATGTTTGAACTATGGAGTCCGGATTAAGGTGTTTTCAGGAACCAGAACAAAAGTGAGAGATCTCAAAAGCTATTACCTGTCCTGGAACCAGGGCCAGAAGAACGATCTCTATCAAAAGACTGGCTTCTCCATCCACCGTCATTTGTGGAACCACCCCAGCCACTACCCATGGATGACCCTGAAGAGCCCCCAGTAGCAGGGCTTCGCATTGGTACCATGGCAGCAACTGATCTAATGGATGGTGTCGATTCATGCACAGGATCATCAATGTGCCTCTGAAAATATGCCACAAGCCGATCAATGTCCTCAAACATCCTCTTCCGAAACTTGAATCCCTTAGGATATAGACCAACATATTCATGATGTGGATTTGTGCTCCTAATATATGTCAGAATGAATGTTCCTGGATGTTCGTGAGAAATTCCGAAAGAATAAACTATTCTTGTAGGATAATCCGATTTCTCAACCCTTAGTTGCTCATCAACTTCTGCTTTGGTTCCAGTTCTGAACTTGCGATAACTTAGCATTGCCTTTAGATGAGACACCAAGGGATCAACATAACGGTCCATTACCTACATTTTACAAGGCAGTAAACATAAATATATCAATTTAGATTCTGGGATCGCTTAAAATAATCTAGGATAAAAAAGATAAATTGCCCCAAGCTCTCAACTTGAAGAGCTGTGGAATAACAAACCATAATAGACACTAACCTCATCCAAATCCTCAAAAGTGTCATCCCCAATTTTCAGTGTCTTTCCAATTCGAAGTAAACTTGTAATATCCTTGTGTTCCTTTCCACCTTCAGATATGTCCTTGTGTGCATAAACTCCATCATAAACTTTAAGAGTCAGAGTTAAATATGATGGCCCACGAGAACTAGGACGAATGATACTTTCCCCAGGATCCTTGTCAGATAAGATCTGTTGACAATTTGAATTGGAAAAGCGACTTGGCAATCAGTTGAGTCATATGCAATTAAGAAATTTTTCAATGGATTTTTATGAAACTAAACAATCATTAATAAAAGAAATGCGAAAAACAAACCACTTGCCAAAAATCATTGGGACAATTTAAATACACAAGTTCATGCAAGACCCACATCCAAAATGTTACATCATAAGCAATTCGAAAATTCATAAATCAGAACAGTCTTAGACTTTCATCACATTCTAATAAGAGGTTCAACTAAAATTACGGATTTAAGAGCAGCAATCTGCTTCCTAAAATATCAGTGTGAAAAACGCAAGCTCAAAGCTGAAGTTCATACCTGTAATGGAAAATTATTTAAAAAAAAACTGGTTAAGGAAAAGGATTTGATGATGAGCTCGAAGAGAGTTGTCAACATTAGTATATTGATCCAGTCAGCTTTTGCTTCTCATTGTCATTACTCAACAGAGGGCTTGAGAACTATATAAATATATATCGAACAGAAATCTCTAACTCAAGCCTGATATTGTGTAACTAGAAGTCCATAACATCTGGTATTTCATCAGCTCATCATTTACTGTGTCATGGTTGGAAACAAGTTCAAGTATATAAACAAAAAGCACCTAAAATTCTTCTGAAAAGAGTATTTAGTTGAACTTTTCTTTTATTCAGTAGATAGGATGCAAAAATGTCTTGCCCTGTGGAGTAAAATTATAGAGCACCACCATAGTATAAAGCATGAAGAGTGAGGAACTAAACTGCCAAGAATAAAATCAACATTTTTGGGGCTCAACTAAATTTGTGCAAGGTGGTCTTTATGAAATTCTGGAATCCTAACCAGAGAAAAAAATTCAAATTTAATTCAATCTACCAAAACTACAACTAAATTTAGCAAGCATGAAGTGTCAGCAAGATACCTCCATTGCTTCATCAGCTGTTATATTCTGGAAGCGAGGATGAACTATCATCCTTGGCTTGAAGTGTTTCTTCGCAAGCTCCTTCTCTTTACGAGCCTTTTCTTGCTCACTTTGAATAGTACTGCGATCTTCACGATAATATGGATCAAGGTTTCGGATTTGCTGATACCTGTCATTCCTCATCTCACTGTCTCTACAAACTAGGAACACCTGATATCTATTCTTTTGAATGGATTTGATCTTGCAGGTGAGTATGTCACCTTCATGCAGCCTATCAGACAGCTCAGATATGTCTCTCCAATCATCTGCATAGTCTTCCCTTGAAAGCATTCCAGTCAGTCCAGATTCCAGTGCACATGTTGCCCTTAGACCTTGCACCCTGCGGACAGTGGCCTGAACTATTCTTCCTTCAGCAAGCGTATCCTCAGTTTCACCAGAAATCATATAGAACTCCTCATCTTGACTAGGTTCTTTATACGGTTTACGCCAGTCCTGAAAACCATGTATCAACTCCCCTTTTATATCCTTGAAAGTCTCCTTCTTGTTCTCGCGCTTCTTATCTTTGAGATACACATTAAGATCGATTGTTTTCAATAAACTAGGTCGGTCTCTAACATGCTCTATTGCCATTTCCAGCGCCTCATCATCATCATTTGCGTCACCATTATCCATTTCATAAACATCTTTAGCCATCTCTTGAGCCAGACCATAAGATTCTGGATGTATTCTTGTATCATCTAACAAATCAATGAATTGGCTACTGCTAGCAGCCAACCCACTACGCCGGACACGTAAAAAGCCAACTGCATTTACAAACACCTTTTTACCAAGTCCATGGACCGTCACAAAGTCTTTTCGAGTGAAAATTGCTCCAGCCCTCACCAGAGACCTCTGCAAGGATGCTGCCTTTCTAGGCCCCAGCCCAGAAATGAATTGTAAAGGGGCAAATAACCATTCATGGCTGGTAGCCATATTAATGTCAAGGCCCACCTGATTTGTGACATCTACCATAACCTGTTCAACCATTGCATATTTCTCATCAGGAGTAAGAAAGTTCTCCAAGGGGCTGAGCTTCCAAGACAAAATCTCCCTTGCTGGTCCACAAAGGGTTGCAACCATTGCCAATGGATTCTGTAGATAACGGCCAAGAGCAGCAGCCCGCCTAACAATGCCTAATAAACATGACAAGGCCCAGTTCAAAAAAGAGCATTGTGTAAGTCAATGCCACCATGGACACAATTAAAAGGCACTTCCACTTATATTAGTTTTTTTTTTTTTTTCCGCCGGGGGGGGGGACATAGAATTTTACCTGGCTGCCCAGCTAGTTGGTCGGAAGAAATCCGAGAATTTTCATAAAGGCGTGATAGAGACTCATCACCATATACAATGCTTAATTCATCCATCTCATGTCCAACATCTCTAGGATTTTCCTCCACCATCTTAAAGATAATCTGATTAAGGCGGACTACAATAAATTAGTACAAGAAAGAATGAGCAAAACAAGAATCTTTGTTAAAATACAAACTACATGTACAAAATAAAAAAAGCTTTGTAAGAGACCCATAGACCATAGAGCTAAAAACTAAAGCTCTTTAATGACCTAGAATTTCAATATAAGATGGCTCTCAAAGAAATATAATTGCAAACTGAATAAATCATACCAGCAAATTAGCAGAATCAACAATGCCAACAAAATCACTAGCAGTCTAGCTCTATCAGGCATCACCACGTCACATGACTAAAGATAAAAATGCGCTAGCCGCATTCAAGTTCCAGAAATAACATTAGAAAAATGGACGACCGAAATATAGAAAATATGTATTATGCCATATAGGAAAAGGAAATCAAGTAATTCCTCTTATAACTTTGAAAGTATTGATAGATACTATTGAGAAGCAAATGTTCTAAATAAATAAATGGAGTTACTTAAGGCATATCATCTAGAATTAATTACTGTTTTCAGGTATTTTAAGGATGAATGGAATGGTTTTGAAAGGACAAGCTGAAGCGATGAAATTCCATTATCATCACAATTCATGGCATCTCAAAGAGCAAAACGTAGTAATCAGAGAATTGAGTTTGAATTAGTCAAGAATGAGTTTCACAATTGTTACCTCGTAAATATCATCCCTCAGCTTTACACAAGACAAGTTCACAGCTCCTAGAACAACTACATGCGGTTGGTGATCCGTCATGAACTTCAAAACAAGTTGCTGGTCCCTTTTCTTCTGTTGCTGGTCATTGATGTTTTGAGATCTCGAGGAAAGAGACCCAGCGTAAAGTACATCTAGTACCTCCCCTGACGAATCTAACATAACAAAAGTCGTGGCTGGCTTCCCAGGGCCCCAACAGCATGCCATGACCCGTGGTGCAGCTTCATCATCTGGAGAAACATCAGTTTCTTTCCGTTGATATGGACTCACAGAAACTTTATTCCACAAAACCTTCCCGTATTCCCAAATCAACCAGTTTTTTGCTCTACTTGTCAATAAGGATCTTGCTTCTTTCTCCATTGAAGGTAACAAAAAAATTTGCAGTGCATCCTTCAGTATCAATGTCCTCTGCTCGTTCCAGAGCTGAGCAGATTTACTAACACCATCACTGAGATAATGCTCATCAAATTCACCAATCAATTTATTCATATATTTTTCAGGAAGCTTAAATGTTACTTGAAGAAGCTTCTCCTCTTCAGCCTTTTGGATTAGAAGCCATTGAGCATCCTCAAATTTGTTCATTGGCTTTTCACGTAACCACTTCACACCTGCAAATTGATGAAAAGAATCTATTGCAGCATTTCCATCTGGAGTTGGGGTTGTGGATACCACAGCATTTTCCATATACATAGCGCGAACATATTTCCTAATACTTGGCTCACAACTTATCTCAACCGCAGCCTAAAAAACAAAACATAAACAACAAAATGTAAACAACGAAAAAAAGCATCACCATGATCTTGTGAACAAGCACCATGCAGACAATCTTTTAGCTGTAGCAGATACAGACAACAAGAACATAAATTCATACCATGTGTCTAGCCCCTTTAAGAACTGCTTGGGGAGTTTCAAACATTGCACATGTAAAGTTCGATGCAATCTCCTCTGGTGTTTCCTTAGCATTTTCCCATATGTACCCCTACAATAACATGCAACAACAAAATTATTAAATCTCCATAAAGCGCATTAAAATTATTAAATCTCCATAAGGCACAACAACAACTATAGACTAGGCAAACTCACAATCTTTTCTAAGGACAAAGACATTCCAAGTTGCTCAGCACTGCACCCAAACTTGTTTGCAACTTCCCATAGTCCAGCCTTACTACAGACACTATATAGTGATTTCCTCTTGGGCCTCTTATACTGTCCTTCATCAACACCCACCTCACCAGGAGGGAAATGCAAGTTAAACTTTGCATCAACATCATCAATCTCTCTTTCCGACTCTGCAGCCTTGAGAGACTTAAGAATTGAATCAAAAAGTTGTTGATTTAAATTGAGTCTCGTCTCATCATATATCCGACGGGATTCTTCTTCAAATCGTTTATTATAGTAAGAATAGAGAGCAGTCTTTCGTTTTTGAAGAAGTAACCACTTTTTATCCAAGTCCTGAATTCCCCAAAGCACCTATATAGAAGCACATTAGCTGTTAGATCCTATAACTTCCCTTCGATTTCTTAACATGCAAGCTTCATATTGAAACACCACCCCCCCCCCCTTTTTTCCTTTCCCTTTCAAAAAAAAAAAAAAGGGAAAAAGAGCAAGCTTTCATCATGTAGAATATAACAAGTTGCCAGGCAATTGCAAATTCATTACCTTGTGCCACTTCAGCATAGAATTGCAGTCAGATTTGTCATGGTTCTCATCATCACCATCTTGTGGCTCAGGATCTTTCAGCAGACTTGAACACTCCTCCTTCCGATACATAGCAATGAATGGAACCTGAACGACAGAACAAAACAATAACAGAATAAGATAAAAATTATTCAAAAACCAAGAAGTTTGCCAATGCATGAATCTTTAAGTACTTACGTCTAACTTCTGCACATGGTGCAACTCTAAAAATCGGCTAATGTCGTCCCTGTTTAAAGGACCATCATCCTGCTCTTCTTCACTCAACTCGGCTCTTCTTTGGCGAAAGAAAGGTAACATACCACTAGCAAGCTGATTATATATCCAGTTGCTCTCATCTGATATACTGTCATCATCTGTTGGAGGAGGACCAGTGCTCTCCTCAGAGATCTACAAAATGAAAGGCAACTGATGCAACACAAAAACACCCAAAGGAAAAGAAAGCTAAGATAGAAGTATATATTTCCAGAAATAGAAATGTTGGAAAACCTGCATTCTTTCTGGAATATCAGTCACCCGAATTTGCTCATCTTTCTCAGTCATATATTTCTCCGAGAGAACAGTTGGTTCAAATTCCCTATCCAATCTAGTTTCCTTCCATTCACTAGATTCTAACTCTTGTTTGCGTCGGAGTAAGAAGTCATCAACATCACCAAATAGTTCCTGAGCTTCCTGTATAGCAGAAGATGTAACTCCTGGTGCCTGCCTAGATTTCTTTCTCTTGAGTTTTTTCCGTCTAAATAATAAGGACATTAATTAATACACTTCCTATGTAGAATAGACCAGAACATGCAAATTGGCCTCAGAAATCCTACCTCATTGGAGCTCCATTCTCATCAACTTCTTCATCCACAATAAAGTCTGCCATTTCATCCTCCTCGCCAATGTCTCCATCCTCTTCCTCTTCTGCCTGCTCCTCTTCAGCAATATCCTCAAGAGGTACTCCTGATATCATAATAATTACTTTTCCACAAACTAAATCTACAAAGTAATAGTACTGAATAACAAAAGCAAGACATATAATGGAGTAACGAGATTTTGTCCAGAAATATAAGCTAGTTAGTAAAGTTTAATGCTTATGTAATTTAATTGTATTTCGTCAATAACTTCCATATTTTGCATGTTAGTGTGGTTAGGTGACAGGTATGAGATTTAGATGGAGCGTTTTAGCCATCTGGGTGGTGCTTAGTTAATGTGCAGAGCATAAGAACGGCTAGGAAGACCATAATCTACTTCTGCAAAAAAAAAGCTCTAGTTATATCTCCATATATATTAAATTCAATGAGGAACACGGCCTAAGAGGTTCAAATTCCAGAATCTCTGTTTTTGTGCTTATGCTGTATTAGTGTTATCTCTGCCCCACAATTTATTAGCATGTATCAAAGCTCCCTTGATCTTAAGGGACTGTTTTAAAATAAAAAAAATAAAAAAAAAAAGAGTATCAATCAGTTCTTTTTTATCCAAAACCAAAAATACTTTCAATAACATTCTCCATTTTTCTTTAGTTTTTCTCAATAGTTTCATTACAGAAAACCAACAAACGGCAGCTACTGCTTCACTTCCAGCGCGTCCAATATTCAATGGCAAGAACTACAACTTTTGGTCTTCGAATATGAAACTTTTCTTATGGCCTATGATCTATGGGAGACAACAGAGTAGGGCAATGAATCAACACCACTCACAGAATATGCTAGAGCCGCACAAAAGAATCAACCAAAAATTTCCAAGCTATCTCATTTCTTCATTCAGTAATAGATGGTTCCATTTTTGCAAGGATAATGGAGGCAACAACATAATCAGCTCGGGTATTTTTCAAGGACTTTCAAGGCTAGGAAAAGGTAAAGCCTGTTAAATTGTTAAATTTGAGAAGAGTATGAGATGCTAAAATGAAAGAATGGGAGGCTGTGAGAGTTCAAAGCTCCTCGCAGTGGTGGATCAAATGAAAATTTATGGAAGTACTGATAAGTTTGCCTAACGTTGAGTCAAAAGTTGCACTAATTGAGGAATCAAAAAGAGAGGTAAGCTTCCTGCCAATGAAGTTATCGGATCTCTACAAACTCCGTAAAAAAATTGGATCTCAAACCCATATTTCTGCTAAAAAGTTCTTTACAAGCAAAGGTCAATTTCAAAAAGTTATCATCAAAGGAAAGCAAGAAAGCAGCTGCTAGAAAAGTGTCCACCTTGTGGACTTTGGAAGAAAATCAGACATGAAGAAAAAGATTGCTGGCACAAGGGAAAGCTACAATGCCATAGATTTACGAGATTTGGGCATATTGGAAAGACTTGTAGAGTTAAAGAAGAAAACAAAGCAAATACGGCACGAGATCAAGAAGAATATTTGTTTTGAAAAGCAAAAGGTAGCTGGTGAGAAGGCAAAAATGGTGAAATGTTCACCAAATAATCAAAACAAGAATCATAGAGAGAAGAACTCCAAGATATCCAAAATTTAGGAGAGATGTACTCCTAAAAAAATTAAGAGCTGGAGAGATGTGCTCCAAGAATGCTCCAAAATGAAAAAGGACTTCAAATCCACAACAAAAATCTCAAGGAAGAGTTTGGAGTAATAAGGTTTTTGTTTAGAAATATAAGCTTAGATTAGTTAAAGTGCAATTTTTTAATGTAATTGAGTTAAGTAATATTTTGTTAAAAGTTTGCAATATATACCAATAACGTCTATATAAAATATTAAAAAGGTCATACGTTCTTGATTTTTTTTTTTCTTTTTCTGCAGAGATTTAACTGCCTCTATTTTGCATGTTAGTCCATGGGCTTTAGATTGAGTATTTTAGTCAGCTTAGTTAAGGTGCACATGTAAGCATAATTAGAAACGACAAATTACTTATGTAAACAAAATCCTCTAGTTATACAAAATCAATGAGAAACACAGCAAAGAAGTTATACAAAATCGATTAGTGTTATATTTGTCCTACCACTTCTCAACAATACATACCTTCATCATCACCAAACAAGCTGCGCTTAAGTTTCTCCTCAGCAGTACGCCCACTTTTACCACTTCCATCAAACTCCTCATCAGAAAGCCCGAAGCGCTCTTCATCAGAATCTCTTTGAGCCTTTTTTAACCTCTTGAACTTTTTACTATCCTGAAACAAATTTCAAACAGAGGGAGAAGCGAATTACTAGAAGAAGCAATAAACTAAGTAGCAATATCAGAGAGAGAAGGAAGTGACATGTCCAAACCTTCGGTCGGTGGTGGAAAGCATTATTGTCTCGAAGGAGTTCATAATCATCTTCATCGAGGACATCCTCAGACTCTCTGGGAATGTTGAAATAAGCATCATTTAGAACCAGAATAACACATGTTTAATGTCATGTGACTTGCAATAGCTACTACCAAAAACCTTCCCAAGCACACACATCAAAAATAAATAAACAAATACTTCATTTTCCTTGCTCTAAAGTCACAATTTTCCACAAATGAATAGTCTATCAAGTTACCAACCTTTTTTTCTTTTTCTTCCTTTTCTTGTGCCTTTCTTCATCACTGTCAGCCCTCTCTTCTTCTTCATCTACTTCTTCCTCTTCAACATCATCAACTATAAAATCATCCTTTTCATATTCGTCCTGTCCTTCTTCTGCACAAACAACAATTATATTACATAGGCCAAAAGAAACAAACTGAAGAACCTCCAGTAGACAAGGGGGAAAAATGTGAGTTCCACTACCAGAGCAGAGAAAAAAAGCACAATTTAACAAATAATGGCCAGTACTTCAGGGGAGCAAAGCTAGAGGATGAAAAAAAAACGAAGGCCATGAGACTTATCCTAAGATAAAAAACATAGATAAAAAAATCAAAAAGTTTCCACCCTCGAATGTCATGAGTATCATAAACAGGAGACCAAAACGATTACTCTAAGTAGTTAAGTAACCTTCCAATCTAAAATACTTAAAAACTTGAAATTATTTTTTCTCCTATGCCAATCTCACCCGTGCTGAATAAACCTTACAGTCAGTCAAGTAATTTTCCATGGAAACAAACAGAAACTAAGTCTAAAACCATAATCGAGTCAACAGTCTATCCGCCCATTAAGAATCAGCGAAATCAAAGTTCAGCATATAAATCGAAAAAAAAAAATTTCAAATTTATCTCATACCGTCCTCCTCATCATCTTCACCATCGTCAATCGCATCAGCGTCTACAGGTTCTCTCTCCTCGTCTTCAAGCTCGACCTCATCTGAAAAATAAACAAGAGGATAAAAGTATGTGAAAATTAGACGGCATTCATTCCTAAGGTGAAAAGTAAGAAATTTAGGGTTATATGCATGAAAGGGAGTTTCATTCGTTACCTTCTTCATCAGAGACTACGTTTTTGCCCATAGTTGATGTTGAACAGATAAATACTTGTGTTTGTTTGAGCCTACTGTATCTTTGATTTGCCCCAAGCCTTATATGTCAGTTTACAGGGAACACCAACTCGCAATGAGTGACGACTGACAAGGTATCAAAATGGTTCAACTAGGGATTTCAAGAGGGCTATGGTTCAGGGTTTTCGAAGAAAGAGGGAGAGGGAAAACGTCGGATAGATTCAATGTGAGGAGAGAGAATATAACAAGATTTAAACCAAAAGATAAGTTTTAACTTGGAAAAAGCTATTCTGGAATTTGAGAGGGTGTTAGCCGTTAGGGTTATTTTGATTTAGCACTTGACGGTGGCAGGGGACTGCTCGATCGATGCCTGGTTTGCTCTTTTTGTAGCTATTTATGAGTTACGAGGTTGATGTCCTTTTCAGGAAATTGATTTTCGTTTTTTTACTGCATTTCTTTATAAGGGTTATGGTTATTTTTGTTAGGTACCTTTTAGGTTTTTTTTTTTTTTTTTCCTTCGCAGGTAATAATAGAACTTGTACTAACTAGAATCAACAAAAACAGCATCAGGGGCAGTATTCTACTCCCGAAGATTGAAGATCCACGCGGAATAGACATGAATTGAAAGTAAATATAAGGATGAGCATTCCGTTCGACAAATTCGATCAATTCAATTAATACGAATAATTCGGCCAATTTGATTCAATGAATAAATATTCGATTAAAATTTAGTTAAAGAAAATTAAAATTTCGGTAATCCGTTAAAAGTACAGTTAAAAATTAATTTGACTGAATTAATTAAATTAATCGATTTTCAAAACTACGTCTTTTTATTAACAGTATGTTTGGAAAGGGATGAAAGAAAATAAAGGAGGAAGGAAAATAATAAAGGAAAATAAAAGAGAATTATATTATTTTATTTCCTTCGTTATTTCCCCTCAATGTTTGGTTGGGAGAAAAATATAAGGGAGGAAAGAAAATGTTAGTATTGAAAAATTTATCAATTTATCCTTCATTATAGTTTTTTTTTTTTTTTTTTTTTTAAAGATCTCTTCTCTTTGTTAGTTACCTTTCTCAACCATAATAAGTCTTCCTCTCATCTCTCACTTTTTTTGCAAATCATTTCTCTTCTCCTGCAAATATATACCCTCTCAGTCACAACTTTATGACAAATCTTAATCAATATTTTCTCAGATCATTCAAGAAACTATAAATAACATCATCCCCACTTTTTCACCACTGGTTGTAATTGTTCCATTCTCATCTCTCCCTTCACGGCAAAGCCTTAAAAAATTCATGTGATGCTATCAATTGAAATTTGCCGGTCTTTTTTTTAGTAATATTTTATTTATTTGTTTATTGTTATTTATAGAGGAAAAGGAATAATGGGTGAAGGTGAAAGGAGATTTTAATTTTTGTTTATATAGTAACTCTTTTAGTTTAATAAAAATGATCTGCAATTATAAATTGAATTTGAGAAAGAATCCACAGTAATTACTTAAATTTGGTAAAGGATATGTAGTAATCAAGTTATGGTATTATTGTAATTTCATTGAACAATGAAAATTTCTCTGCAAAATAGTTTATTTGCTCTCTGATTCGAAGAGATTACCTTTAAGTGGGCTCGGGTGAAAAATACAACTTATTTTCTTCCATTAATATTTTCCATAGCTTTCCCAAACAGGTGAAAGTAATTTTCTCTTGCTATTTTTCATCCTCGTTTTCGTTCCTCCCATATAATCCTCTCTCCCAAACAAAGTGTAAGTAAATAATAAATTAAAAACTGAAAATATTTTAGTTTTTATTTTGATTAAGTAATGATTAATAACTTCGGTTAATTTTTATTTCAGTTAAGTCGATTAATTATAAATTTCGATTAAATTCGATCAATTAATTAAGTTTTCATTTTCTTTAATTTCGGTTTGGTTAATGATCAAAATTAATTTGGCTAAAATGATTCAGTTAAGTTTGCTAAAAAAAATAATTCGGTTACGTCAAAAAAATTTCAGTTAA